TCACATCTCAGGTCATATATTCATTGCTTTCTTGGAATAAGTAAATATTTAGCCTATCCATTAAGACAAATTATATTTGCCATGACTAATACGCTGAATTCTCTTTCAGTTACATATTACTTTATTTCAATAGAGTCCAGAATTACTTAATTATGCACAGAGGCCCGAATATTTCTGATTCATCTGTCGTCCGACAATGCAAAACAAGGAAACAAATAAAAAGATTTATGGAACAATGTATCACATCCGAATCAATAATCATAACTAAAACCGAAGTAACAAGGTACAGTTAAAATCAGGTGCGAATATGTTCAACCGACCGACAAATAAAGTGTACTCTTCAAAAGTCTAATTAAATATTCAAGTATATAAGATATGACGCTACTATAACACAATCAAAGATGAAATGAATGGCAAAAATAAATACATCGAATTACAATAAATAAACAAACTTAAGCAAATAATTTATTTGATACTCAATTTTAACTGATTTCAATACGCAGGAGAAAAAATTCCCGTCTTAGTGAATTTCGAATGAACTCTCCTAACATTTGTACTCAGCATGTCGGATAGCATACCATGGAGGTAATCCCAATGAACAAAGTAAATAATGATAGGATTCTTCAGATTGTGGATTTACACATAAAGTTAAAAACACGAATTGTCAAACTTAAAAGATACTGGAATTAAATTTCTGATCAACTTAATATGATTACGAAATACTATGAATTTATTTAAACACATAAATATTGGTACAAGTGGGCACCAAATATATATGCGCCACACAAAACAATGAGAATGGGAAGAGAAAAAAAAGAAAAATAACGACCAGATTAGTGTAAGGTAGTGTTATAATAATAATAATAATAATATTAATAATAATAAAAGGGGAAACGGAAAGGCACAATCAGAAGAAATCTTTCGGTTCAGGGAGACACAACCACTTTTTATGAAGAGAGTAAAAGAAGGTTACAGCAGGATCGCCACTGGCTTCTATTCTGGGCCATAACTGATAACGTCTCTAGCCACTGTGTCGCACCATCTCTCGGACCCCAACAAGAGGGTCGTGAAGGACCAACACAAGCCAGTCCTTTGCAGCTTTCTTTCATGCCACGACACCATGTCACACACTGACCACCTCTCCGCTTTCTCCAGCCAGTTCCAGAGTCGGCGAGTAATGCATGACGTGGAATTCTGTGGAATGACATTCGTAGAACATGTCCTAGCCACTGAAGTTGGTGTTTCAAGATCGTGACATCAATCGAATTATCGTCTCTACGCCCGAACACACGATGCCGAATCTCTGCATTACTGACATGGTGTTGCCACTGAATGTCAGCGATCCTTCGGAGACAGCAATGATCAAACACAGAGAGTCGTCTAACACCGTCAACTCGGAGAGGCCAGATTTCACAAACATAGAGCAAAAGGCGCCAAAGGTGGCCCAGATTGGCATAAGCCGCTCTGGCTTTCACTACCCAGCTACCTTAATACACGAACTTCTCGACTACTTCTATCTGCCCACCATCCAAAGTGAGTACAGGATTGGAATCCTGCCAGTCTTGTGGAAGTACTGTGCACTTCGAAGGTGTAAAGCACATGCCATACCTATGGACATTGATTGCCAAATGATTAAGTGCGGATTGCATGCCTTGGGCATTGTCGCACAGTAAGACAATATCATCCACATACTCAAGGTCGAGAAGTCTTTCTCCAGGCAGCAGATCTACACCGCCATTACTTACATCCATCAGAGCTGTTTCCAGAATGTCAACGATGGCAAAGTTGAAGAGGAATGGTGAGATTGGGCAACCCTGCCTAACCCCACTGCACGAATGGAAGAATGGAGAAAGGTGGTTGTTGCCCTCACTCTGCCTGAGGTGTTTTTATATAGGGCTTTTAGGATGTTAATAAACTTCTCAGGCATACCCTTCTTCAATAAACAATCCCAGAGAACAGCCCTGTCCAACGAATCGAAGGCAGCCTGATGTCAAGAAACACTACGATTGTTGGCCTTTGATAAGTATGGCGGTGTTCTAACATTTGGCGGAGGGTGAAGATATGATCAATACATTCTCGACCGGAACGAAACCCAGCCTGCTCCTCGCGAGTCAATCTTTCTCGGGTTTTGAACAACCTACGGAGTATGACGGAAGCCAATAGCTTGGACGCAATCGGAAGTAGACTTAACCCCCGATAGTTGTTACAGGAACGACGTGGACCCTTTTTAAAGATAGGGACAACTATCGACTCATTCCATGACGTCGGTACACTCTCTAGCTCCCAAACCTTTGTAGACAACGTCGTCAGTTCCTTAACCAGAAAGTCACCACCATCTTTAAAAAAAGTCAGAGGTGTGTAATCTGGGCCCGGTGATTTGTAGCGCTTCAAGAGTTGGAGTTCCTTGCGAACTTCCGCCTCATTTGGTGGGTCAGTCATCACGTGCCATGTAGGGGAGGACAGTCTGAGCAGTAAGCCAGGTGAACTGCCCATCGTCCAAGACGTCGACGGATGTTAGTGATTGGCATTCCGTCATCCTCACAAATTGTTTCGCACACACCAGACTTCTTGCTGCCAGTGGCTCGGATGAGCTGGAAGAGCTTCCGGTAGCTACCAGATGAAGCTGTTGGTTCCAGCTCATTAACACGCTCCGACCACCAGTCTTCTCGAAGTTGCAACCAAGTTGCTGATATCAATCCTTTGATGGTGGTCACTTCGTTGGCCACTGAAAAGTAAGGCAAGATTGGCGCAGATCAAGGCATGGTCAGAGTCCAGATAGGTACTCCAAAAGGAGCGGCAGTCTTGTACACAACCACGTCAGGATAATACTACATTATCTGTCGGTTCACTTTCTAAAGGAGAACGGTTAACTGGTGGTAGAATCCATCCTTGATTGCATCCGGGCTGCAATTTGTCGGAGCATAGGCGAAGATGACGAAAAGACATCGTTTTTCAAGCCGATTTCTTCTCACTTTGATGGAACTTTCTAAACTAACAGCACATAACCGACTGTTATTGGGGATCCGATCGATTAGTGCTGCTTCAGCTCGAGCGCTTAGTGTGACACCAACGTCAGCAAGACCAGACGAAGATGCCACAGGGTCCCCAGATGAACGCACATAAAACAAACTTTTTGAAGCGACAGATGGAGATCGAATTTCTAGTACTTCACCTGTTTTGAATACGGGTCTCGGTTAGGCAACAAAAGTCGATATTAAGTCTTTCCAAAGATATAGCCAGCCCTGTTGTCCGACCTGCATAAGTGTGCGAACGTTTAAGGCAGCCAGTTTGAGTGGTGCACGTGGTTTCAGAGAGTACTTAAGTGTCTTAGTATATAAAAAAATAATATTATTATCGAACGGATATGAGTTGTCTGAGTTTTAACATTATTTCCAGTTAATATTGTCACTTAATTTTATTTTTGTGCGTGCTGTGATACTCCCCTGGTGCCTAGACCGAAGCAGGTAGTTTCCTTAGGGAGCCACACTCGGAGCCTTCGACCTAAAGGTCTGATTCACAAGGCAGGGGAGCATCGTAAGGAGATGCAGTCCCATGGTAGCCGGTGACCAATGATTGGTTCATACACCATTTGTTCCCTCAGGATACTGGAGCCCATGTGTACCATTAGTTTGGAATTAGGGTTTCCTAACTCCTATATGTGAACTCACCGTGTCCACCTGCCCGAACATTCGCACTTCGTCCTTTCAATTTCATAAGAAACACCCTCGCCGCGAGAAGGCAGTGAGTAGCACGTCCCTGGCAGTGGTTGTATGCAAGTGGCCACTTGAAAGCATTTCGAGAGGGTGAGCTGACTCTCCCCACTCTCGGCCGTTCCAGGGCATTTGGGGTTATGTATCTCACTAACTTGTTTGTACATTTAGCAAAAATTCACACTTCATTTTATGTCTTGGTCTGAGCAAGCCTGGCCATTAAGAACATCATGCTGGTATGGCCAAGTGTTTCGTCACTTACGTAAATATAATCGCTAAAAATCAAACGTGTATGTAACTTGCCTATGCACTTTAATATAGTGCCTCCTTGCTTACGGTGTTCATTATCCAATTTTAAATATCAATACGTATGTAACAAATAATATTTTAAATGGGAAGGTAGCGCATTATCTCAGTTCATCTTTGTCCGTCTGTTCGCCTAAGAAAATTTTTGAAATGTAGATCTCTAAAACACTTGCATTCGACTTATTCAATTAGTTAAGATACAAACGAAGTTAACGAGGATTTATATTTTGTTGGCATCATCAATGAAAACAGAGGGGAACAAAAGACTACATAGATTTTAAACGTAAATCGTGTGGAGACCAAATTCGCAAATAAGTAATTGAAAATTTAGTACTTCAACCCATCACAACCAGTCATTTGATAATAACGTCATGATATGAGTAGGTCTATTTAGTCACACGAATATAAACAAAAATTATGTCGAATGTGAGGGACGTAGGTAACACAGCTCTTTCAGTCTTAACATAATAAACTGACTGAACATAATCCTCCAGTTCAAACTCTCATATAAATAGCAACTTACATTTTAAAGCTAAGATAAAAAGACACCCGTTAATCAACAATAAAAAATGACTTCTACTTGTAAAGTCCCCGATAACAAGAAAAGAGTTGCTGATTGAGATACATTAAATGCATAAGAAGGTGTAAATAATTTTAGTGTTCATGGGAAAAGGGTGAACAAACGGTACAACGAAGTTAATGACATTTCAAGCGGAAAAATGAAAGGGTGACAATGCAGAAATTGAATCCAAGCTTGTACAAAATAACTCCAAGGAAAGTATCTGTAACATTGTACAAAAAGCTGTTGTGACTTTAAGGTCGACTAGTTACCACGTAATTGGTTCGCCAATCGAAAAATGATTTATTCACTCTTGTACTGTTTTAAACCAATGACGTTTGGCTGGTCTGACCAGCCTAGCGTACTTATTGGTCCGTTGCTCGCTTACCCCATCCAGTTGAGTCCAGAACACCAATAACAGCTTCCACTATGCGAATCATTTATTTCAGACATACTTGGTTTAAATACCAGCCAAACAGACCGCATCACAGCATAAAATAGGAAATAACATTTATACAAAATCAAACCAAAAGTGGTTGCGAACGTGGGAGTACAACTTAAATCGTACAATAATAATCTATAGGTCAAAATGAAGCTTATAATAAGAGGAATATGGATATATACAATCTAGGTATTACATAGTTATACAATAACAATATTAGTTTATTAATTGTTATTGGAGGTTACTCGTAATTTAACCTTCACTAGGATATAACAAAAGCCACTTTAGAATGAAGTACAAATTTATTTTTAGTTTACACAACTCAATGGTAAAGCCTGCATATCCAGTGCGGAAAGTGACTGACATGAGAATTATTTGCCACGCTTCCTTAGCAAGGTAAGGTTGTAATCGTTCACGTACACAACTACTCAGAACTTATCATAAACGCTTTAAAATTTTATTACAGGCATAAGCTTTAATAGATATTTCAGAGTGATAATCTATTCTAATTCATTGTAAAACCCGTTAGTTATACCAGCTAATGTTAACTGGATCAAATTTTCTTACAATACTTCGCACTCCCATAAGATTATGTATTTCCTGTAGAGGGACAGTTCGAAAAACACAAAAATTACTCCTATACGTATGACATGCAAAAATTGACAACACTTAACTTTTACAACCAAACATTGTGTGATATTCTAATTTAAAACCCGTCAAAAGTTTTACATTGAGTTAGGGCACAGTAGCTCTGTCACTATATTAGAAGCATAACGGCGAGGCTATAATTAATGGACGAACCTTGAACGAATCTCAAGTGACCTTGAGGAATTTTAGTCAATCAGAAAACAGTCAGTATAGAGTAAGAATATATCATACAAAACCAAAAAAATTAGAGTGAACACACTTTTTTAACATGTTTTAGAAAATTTCCAAGGTCAGGAAGTTTATGCAGTTCGGAAACCGTAATTTATGCGATACAGGATCTCATCCATGTAACCCCACACTAGTCGACCTCTTTTAGCCTCGACAACATTGCTTCTATATTGTTTGTGTGTACTTTGGTGGTAGTGTCTACAAAATGCCGCTCATGGACGACGACACGATGCACGTAACCCAGTGTGTAACCACCGACATGCTCTCCAGTCATACATGTATATTGTGATTCTCGGCTGCACATACTCTCGTATGTTTGATATTGTAGTTGTAGCTTTTCGGTTTCTAACGCTCTGGAAGTTCCATTTTTGAGATCGTCTACCATATATACTAAGGATCTGTTAAGTATATTTATGGAAATGCTACTTACCCAGTCTTCATTAACACTTCATCCTCTATTGAGTTTGCATATTCTAACGACAGTTTCGTTTATTTCCACGATTCTGCCAACTTCGAACGATCCATGCAAGCTTGTCACTTTTCATTGCAAATATATCTCGACAATACTCATACCATTGAACTGCCGAAGCTTCGATATCATCTGCAAAGGTTGCAGCGTGTTACTGGTGCTTTTGTTATTCAGTTTGCAACAGCTATCATAATCTGTCTTAGTTTCAATCGGGATCGAGCGAAAAATTTCTTTTTCTAGCAGACTTGCCTCCAACATATATTACATCGAAATACATCATCACGACAGTCTGTACAAGGTTGAAGAGTCATTTGACTACCGAGATGATAAATAAAGGAACTTTTTAGTAATCGCATTTATTGCGGCCGCTCTTTAAAAGCAGGCACTGAAATAATCACCGTGACCTTAAGATCGCCCAAACCCTTCTGTTTGGCTAGTCCATCAATTACAGTGTCATCAGAATAACTAATAGAGCTTCACTGTTACCAATATCATGATTCATTCAGAGGGAAACAGTAATTTTGAATTTCACCAGCGATTTTAATACTTTAAGCAGTCGATGGAACTTACGATTACGACTGTTCTTACAAATAAGTCATTGTAGGCACAATATTTGTGAAAACTCGCCTACAAACTTACCGTCGGAATATCCTACTCCATATTATACATCGATCTTTAATACAATTAACCCCACCGAAAATCGAATCAACCGAAGATATATATGACTGTTAACGTAGCAATTCAAAGACGAATTCGAGAAAAAGCCTGCTGATAGAAATCAAGTTTCTAAGTGAAAGGATAACCGACAAATTATCATCTACTGAATAAAAGCATTTTACATTAACTGAAAACGAACTGCATGTTTTGAGAGGTGGTCAACAAAAACCGAAGAAATCTAACATTTGACAACAGCTGCTTCATCCAAACAGAATACCCGTGTGTCTTTACACAGCGAAAAAGACAGCTGCAACGCAGTAAAGTACGGTATTAGATTAAAATCTTAATTAAATGATATATATTCAATGTCACACAGGTGCTATGTGAAAGCATCATCTATACAAATCTCATAAGTATATTTTGAAGGGCAAACATATAGCTGGCGTTGAGTGATTAATAATTCACGATTATCTTTAGCTTCGAAAAGAATGAGATATCTGTCACTATTTTCACACAGCAGTAAAGAAAATGAATTCTACAAGAAAGGACTTGTCTTATACGTTCTAGCACTTCAAGTAACTATGTAGACTTAAATGTTTTATTCCAGTTATGATCGACGTAGCTTCGTCGTAAAAGGTTTAAAAACTGTGAAGTTGCTGATAATTTATTCAGTTTTGAAGATAGAGGTATTACTACATTATCATCGAACCTAGACATACAAACAAAATTAAGAGAAAATTAGAAACTGTACAAAGGTGTAAGTTGAAACACCGTCTGTGCAAAGCAATGAGAAATATGTTATTTCCGCTTTAAGCTTCTGGAGGCTGAGTCTGACGAATGTACCTTTTTTCTGGATGGTGACGGAGTCCGAGAACGATGCGAATGTCGATTGTGGGCTGCAACTGGGTCCGGACTTCGTGAACGGTGTCGTTTGCGATTCTGTAAAAAGATAAACAAGTCAGAAATAATGACAGACCAAAAGTTTATTAACATAGTTAAAAATATAGCTAACCATCCACCTCCAAATGAAAGATAGTCAGGCATTTAACGATTCTGCCTTTACTTTATCAAGGTTTAATGCTAGAAAAGATAAAATTTTGCTGCTGTAATTTAAACATAATCATATTTAGTCGTACGGTGTTTTTATGGGCTTCTTATCCAAACTATATTACAACAGAATGTCAGGACTATTGAGATTTAATACCTTAATGCATCGTGTGCCTATCTACCTCAGTAAAACCGATAAATATAAACATATATTAAAGTGTTCGCAATATCAAGGCCAGATATTCACAAAATATTCAGCTTATTTGAATAGTATCGAATAACTACGGTAACTCAAATTTTTAATAAACATTGCATGTGAGGACAATATGAAAAAGTTGATAATCATGCAATAGTTAAGGTAACCCAATTAAAGTTCTGCTAACCGATTTGTGTGGAACATGTTTTTTCTTCGGAGTAATGGAATGGGACTGATTTGAAGTAAATGCCGCCGCGTCATCATCCTCAGTGGCTTCTCCTTCTTCCACATCTTCTAAATGTGTTGAGTAGTTAATTTCATCCTCTGTCGAATCAGGCTCCCAAGCGGAAGCAGATGTCCTCCGACGTTCGCTGGAGTTTCGTGAGTCCATTCGCATAGAAGGGCTATTATAAGTACTCCAGTCTCCAGGACCCAGGCTCCCAGAAGGAGAAGCATGACGTCGGCGAGGGCGATCACGATCACGAAATGAACGCGGAGGTGAACGATCCCTTGAATTCCTTCGTGTAGGGGAAGATGACATATCACGACCTCGCGACTGATATTTCGATTGATGAGGTGTCAGACCACTTTTCTCCTTAACACTTTTGGATGGTTTGGATTTGTTACGATGAACAGATTTATGTCCTTTTTTATGTACAGAATGTTCATTTTCTACAAGGCTTTCTAAAAGGCGTTCTCTGTAACGTTGAATTTGCTGCAATAAAATAAAATAATTGAAATAAGAATCACTGCTTTAATTAATAGTGGAAAAAATGAGAAGTCACTAGTGGATAAGAAGCACAAAAAACTACGTAGTACAGTGTGAATCTCATACAAACCAACGTGATTAAATTGACTTTCGGCTGCAAATAACTCTGAAAGCGTGTGAATAAATGGTCTGAGAATGAGACTTCATTTAGTTAGTAAACAGAGATGAAAGTACGTTCCCCGAAATAGTTACAACATAAATGTTTACAAACGAACGCTGATCTTAAACCTTCTATGAAATCACAGGTAATATATAAAGATTACAAAATCAAGGAACTTCAAGTCAGTGTTGAGAAAAATATTTCATGGCATACTATTGCTTAATTAAAAGTTCCTAACAAATCTTATGTATCAAAGGTTATTATGATGTCCGAACGTGTTCAAATGATATCGAAAATGACATAAAATATAAGAAAGTCTTTAGTCTAAGTATGATTACTTACTGTTTACGGTAGATAAAAAAATACTGTGAAGCATAAAGACAAATGTGTACCGACAGAAACCACTCTTTATTTACCTTGTTTATAGCTTCATCCGTAATTGTTTTATCTCCTTTACGACTTGCCTCCAACTCATCTTGATACTTTAATACCTTGAGTTCTACTTCTCTTAAAATAGCGCGACGCTCTTCAGAAACAGGTGTCGTCGAAGTACTACTAGGTGTTGAAGAAACGTGAGAAGTCGCGGAAGTTACGGGAGTTGGACAAGGAATTTGAGAGACTGGTACAGGTGAAAGACTAGATTCGCTCGCACCTGGACTGGCAGCATCTTCGTCATCATAAGCCACAAGTCCTCCTAAAATGGGTAATGGTCTAAAACAAAATACGTAAACAAAAAATTTCTATCACTAAAAGAGCCAGATTTAAAAGAAAATAACGTGCCAACTTATTTCCCAAGAAACTAATTCGCATTTGCAAAAGTACTACTAAAAGGTTCTAGCAATAAAAATAAAATTAAAAATTATGAAGTAATAAATGAAATATACATACGTATGAAAATCACCCACTGCGAGAGATGACTGATATTTAGTTTCCGAAAATTGTGCTGGTAAAGGAAGCTTTGAAGTCACGATCTACATAGGAAAAGTTGCTGGGCCACTGAAACTTAGTGTAACACTGTTCAGAGAATCAAATAAATACCGACTAAAAACTAAAATTTAGTAACCAGTTTAGTGCAACTAGGTTATTAAATTTAAGACCATACAGCAAGGCTGACTAATAATTATTTATGATAAGATTTCACTTAGTACTTTTAAACGAATTCAATAGTCCATAATTTCGTAAGAAATTATGCGAAAAGGTGGAACGCAAGATTTGAACCCCTTCATTATCTACCTTATCTTCAATAACGTACCAAGTATTTGTACAGTTGTTTCAACTTAATTATTGCTTTATGTTCAATCAGTCATAATCAAACCTATGTTCAAAAATCCCTGATATTTAGTTATTAGTTAAATTGTTTGTTGATATGACAAGGAAAACTAATATTTTGAACTTTGCAGCTCATCTTAGAATCACAAAATGACAGACAATTGGTCTAAAACATACACACTTTGAGTATGTTAAACATTTTCCATTAGGCTAAAAATATTAGTAACAGGGATTGTAGACTTGAAATCTAGCTATAATTTAAAAATGTATGAAAAAGTATCACTTACTCTCCGTCTACATCATCGTCTACTTTATTTGTTGAAGCATTGTTACTCCATCGACTTGTATCAAGTGGGATTCCATTTACAACTTCAGAAGGAAGAAACGCCCCCTTATTTAAACCATTCGGTTGGTTTTGAAGGTGACTAGGAGTATTCTGCATGTTGTCACTGGACTTGGAGATAGTTTGGTCTTTTTTCGTATCTAAAACAGAGGTGGATTCCCATATACTTGCGACTGTTAATGCCTCTGGTTCAGTAGCTTCAACGGTTTCCCATTTGCTTGGAACAAATAAACGATTAGAAGTATCCCCAGATGGTTTTACTTCATCCTCCGTTGTAGTTGCACTGAGCTGAGAATTCTTAGGTCTATAGAAGGATTCAACAAATCCTTATTTATACAGAATTAAAACTAGATTGAGCAAAATGTTAGATTGTCCTAATGTATTCATATAAACGAAATAGATTTAATGATTGAAAGAGGTAGTTTTCCTAGGGGGGCACACCCGGAGCGTTCGATCTAAAGGTCTGATCCACAAGGCAGTGGAGAAAAAATAGTAAGGTTGCTTCGTGGTCAGATTCGAAACAAACGATAAATACTTATTGTTTGAGTTCAAAATGAAATATTCCACTAGTCGTAATATATATACTCACCAAAAATAGATGAATTCAGGCAATAAACAGTAAGTGAATGATATAAGAGTACTATAACTCATATATTTCAAAAACCACAAGAACCAATACGAAGTAGTTATCACGCTGGGTTTTTAAACTGATAGAAACACAAGCGGAGAATCTCGCACAAAACTGCATCGGTTCAGAAAGTCAAAAGAGTAAATAAAAAGAAAACCAACGAAAACGTTGAAGCAAAAATAATACGAATCGAAAAGAGAAAACGGCGAGACGAAGGTTTACGGGAGATTCAATCAGACTTAAGATAGTGGGTCTTGGATTTTGGCGCGGAATTCATATATATGGCTAATTAGCATTTTAGCATTATAGCTGACGTTAGATCGTGATGAGAACACTAACTCTAATTGTTAAACCCAAAGCCCAGCTGTTGTAACGGGTGGATTGCAGGTTAGATGCGCAGCGTTTTACCGATCGATAACAGTGACACGGAAAACACGTAGTGAACGACCTAGTGCCCTGATTGGTCCCGCTTCCCTGTCTAGCGCAGCCAGTTGAGTCCAGAATGCAAGTCACAGCCTCTGAGATATGAATCGTTATATTTCAAACATACTCTGTTTATATACCAACCAAACAGACCACATCGTACCATAAAAATAGAAAACAACATCTGTACAATATTTAACGAGTGAAATAAATAATGGCCAATAGGGAATGCCCATTTAAAGTCCACTGACAACATTAGACTTAACATGATAATGATTGGTATATTCCTCGGCATACCTAACATCAGCTGTGAATCCAAATCCCAATTTTTAACACTAATTTATAAGACTCATTTAACCGTAATAAGTAAATGGACATCCTGAAGGTCATTGCCCAAAGGTTGTCCATTAATTATACTCTCACCGAATAAAATGTCGAAGAGTTAAAAGATGAAGAGTAAATAAGTTTGTGTCTCAATGCGACCACTGACTTTTAGTATCCTAATTAAGAAACGCAAAAATGGGGACCAGAAGTTTGTATTTTAATAACCTAACAACTTTTAATCTGATCAGTTTAACAACTCATATGTTTCAAGCCTGTATACACAATTTATTGTGAAGATAGTCGACCAAAATTGGGAGAGGGAAGGGTAGTAAAAAGCATAACAATCTCTAGTGGCATACCGAACTGGTGAAGGAGACCGATCATCTTCATTATCTAAAGGACTACCATCAACATCCAAGGGATCTCCATCATATTGAACTAACGGTTGGCTTTCTAGAACCTCGACATCCGGATTTAAAAATCCTTTTTTTTTTGACAAATCTTGATTTTGCTCATCTTCAATCAAATTTAATGGAATACCCGACAGGTCGGCTTCATAGTCAACAGCCTAAAATGAATCAATGGATTTAAAAAGAACTTAGTCTATGTAAAGTATAAGGGTAATCTAATAAATTATCTCAGATCATGCAATCTGTAATTTTTGAAACGAATGGAACAATAAACTACTGATAACACAGTTGCTGCAAGCCATATTATGATTGTATTATAGATTTTCACCCACAACACTAGTTTTCAATAGGCTTGCCTTCAGTCATATAATCTCAAATACACACCATCGTAGAGTAGTTGTTGTGAATGATATTTTCGTACACTTTATTCTTAAAAATGACAAAAAATATTCATGTCGATGTTCTTAACAGAAAGCAGTAATTCTTTTTCAAAATAGCTATTTTTAGATCTGAATAGTTATTTAAATTCTGGCATAGATTTTTTACTGATGAATATAAATACTGAGGTCGAAACGATTTTAAACCGACATTATGAATCACTGCGTATAAAGATTTCGAACATTAATTGGGAACTACAGCGTAACATATTGAAGTTTAAAAATTGGAAATAAAAAAATGTAGCTTAGAAGTTGACAACTACACCAAAAAGGGTCCCGAATTCAAATATACAAATCTGTAATTGGTTACAGAAGTGCATCAAACTAGAACCAAACATTGATGAAGACGATGTCATATGTCAAAGAAAACTCACCTCCGACACCAGCCCCAAGAATATATTCTGCAACTTGATGAGGAATTCATTTGGATATACGGCCCAATCTTCCCACGCACGGAAACAAAGCATGACTTTTTGCTATAGTTATGATGTATGTAATATGTGAAACATATAAGTTACCTTCAATTGTTCAGCTTTAAGTTTCCCCTCTACATTTTTATAATGTAAATTCAGGTTTTTGAACATATCTGGTAAGCAAGTTTCAAAACTAGATACAGAAATAATAAAATGAAATTGATTATGCAACTCAATGCAGTCATAGTCATATTTATATTACTACTAAAAGTGAAAGATCACATTACTGAAGAGAGAACAGATGAATATGTAAATTTACACAAATAAATATATATATATATATATATATATATACGTAAACTCAAGTCACGCTATTGATTGACAGAGTCAAACTAAAAACATTATTATAAGCACAGGATTTGAAAAGCTTTGGAAAAGCTATTCAGTATAAGTTACTTTTAAAAGTGATTCGACTAAGATTGACACGATGAAGATCAATCATTGAAAAGACTTGGAAGAAAACAAATTATGAAATGTGTAAGATAAATTCTCAATAAGTTATTATTTCCAAGTAACAACCTACTTATATATATTTCCTAATATATAAGTAAATAAATAAACACGTGTTACCAGTTATATGAACGCACCACTTTCGAAAGAAAGAAGCATTTGGAACTTTAGCTGACGAATTATATAGTATATCAGAAGCCAAGAACAAACGAGCGACCAATTTATTTATGCTTATACATTGAGATTTTTCATGCTCTGTAGAATCCTGGTCGGATTTCAAGTCTGAGATAGGATTTTCATCGGCTGAATTTGTTTCTTTATCCAAATAATTTGAAATGAAATTCGAATTTGGAGCAACTGAATCAACTATACACAAGGCGATATCGGAGGCAGAATCCGCGTGTTCCAAACACCACACCATAACCTCACCTATTTTAATGCGACAGGGTTCAAGATCCTCCAGCATTTGAGTAAACCGACCTCGTTGTGCCTCTGTTAAACCACAACGACGAGAAGCGGCAGCAGCTTCTAAACGAATTTCTTCTTGCCTGCAATAATAGGATTGACAAAGGAATTTTCCAAGTTCAAATACTCAGAATACTAAACAAGATTACTTTTAATCTTAGTGTAAGAAAAATTAACAGTGAAACTCTTAAAGTATACAGGAATTTGGTCAATTTTATCATCGTAATTACCATGAAAAGTTTGAAATAAATGTGAGTCAGTGAAGGAGTAGGGATTTGTGTAATGAGCTTTGGGTGACACTTATGAACAATCATCGATATTAGCCTGTTACCCAGACCGAAAACAGAGAGGTGTGAACATGTAAATACACAATTCAATGACCGAGCCGCCTTTTAACCAAAATAACTTTTAAAAATATTCTAGAGTATTCAAATTACTTCTGTTTGAAAATTGTAGACTGTTAAACGTTAATTATCCTACCTTGCAAAACGTCTTCTCCTGGTAGAAGTTAGTATCACTGGTAGACATCAGGGATATGCATCCATGAGTTTATGGACCACAATAAGACTTTCGGATCGTTAACTCCCAAATGATCAAAAAATAGACTTTTATGATAACGAAAACCTTAAAACGCCTTGAACAAAGGCTAAAACATTTTAACAGTGATTAACTAATGAGTGATGAATGCAATTTTTAGAACAGACAATACAATCCATATGTTTGAAAGGAAATGTAATATCTCCACTTTATACTACATTTTAATGGACAAGAAAACTAGTGTAACTGAATAACAAAATCAGTGTCTGAATAAATTACTCACATTTTAACTATGGTGAAAACTTGTAAGAAATATACATGAGTTTATTGAGTATTCAGTTTCCATAATATGCTTTGAGAGGAACTACGGAAAAATATTAGGCTAAATAACAATTAAGACTTTAAAATACAGAATTTTAAACAGTAATGGTAGAACTAGCAAATTTAAATAAAGAAGCAAATTTATAATATGAAGATAAAAATATTGCGAGTTAATGGTGGGATGAACTAAGCCGAGACAGCTATTTACACTCACAAGTCTTCAGATTCACGTCTTCTTCCAGAAGGCGGCGGAACATATCCTGGGGCGTAAGGATAATCATCTTCTTCAACAAGGTCTTCTGGCATGCCACCAGAGAATAAATTAACAGGAGGGGGACGCCAAAGCGGACCACCTTCAAACATTCGAAATTCTTCTGTACGCCATTTGGTTACACTTTCGCCCTTACACAACAAACATATAGACAAAATAGTAAATTCGAAGTATTGTGAAAAATAGTAATGAGATACCAAAGTTATAAAATCACGACTTAGAAAAAGTTTAATGAAGATACCGTCAATGTCATCCAGGTTTATCGACACAGAATATAGATTATGAGTGTAACTCAAAAAATAAATGAAAAAAACCCAAATATACACACTGTATCAGGTGAATCAGTATCAGTGAATAACAAAAGGCACTACTGATCACATTGAATTTGAAAGGAAATATTTCAAACTATGCTCATCAAGCTGATAGTTTTTGATAAAACTGTAATACTGATAAACGAGGATTTCAAGGTATACATGTTACTTCAAAAATTCTACTGACACAATGTGAACTGTTGTTTATTCGCGTTCACTTTTCCCTAAGCTTTGTCAAACTGAAAACCTCACACTTCCGTTTTCTTTTAGTTACCAAAGTGCAATTATTACTCCGATTTGACCACTTTCTTAACTGTATTACAAACTTATATGAATATTATCAAGTTACTGATATTTGCCTTTTCATGGGATAGTTTACAGAGATCAATCTTCGCTTAATACTTTGTGTGCAATATTGGATATAGATTGCAGCATCCATCTGTCCTATAGCCAATGTTTCAAACTCATGCCTATATAAATGCAAGCACTTGATTCTGTAGCATGATTCAAAAAATATTCTCGATAAGATAAACTAACGTATGTAATTTACTTTTATCTCAGCCAGAAGATAAAACTTGTTTGACGTTTGATAAAATGCGCTACTGGTAACATCTGACGACCTACAAAAAGCTGAGTGTACTACACAACAGTTTAACTTACTTCACCCTAAGAATATTGGACATAGTTACTGAAATAAATTATTTGCCGTGGATTCGACTAATAGCTTTACATTTATCCAGAAGTGTTTGGTATAATAATTACTCTTGAAACTGTGATTCGAAACACATGCGGTGTAGGATATAAACACTAAGAGACAACATACAGAAAAATTACAAAGTTGAAGAATAAAGAGTGAAACAAACGATAAGGAAGAGGTTACACAACAAACACTAAGGAAAGCTTCTTGTTTGTATTACTTAAACAGTATTTTAGTGTTAGTTGAATAAATGTTTACAGATAAATGATAAAGCTGATGATTATGGTTAAAATCAGTTCAACTACAGCTTTATGTAAAAACAAGATCTAAAATTTAAATAACATCATAACTTCACGGTACTTTAGGAAACAATTGACTGGCAATAGTGCTGACGGAGCTTCATGCAGATAGTTTATTACATTTACAAAAATGAAGAATAATATCAATAAGAATAAATCTAAATTTATCAAACCGTGCACTTATTTCCTAGAACACAGCAACTGAGAATTAGGTCATTAGCTAGACGTTTAATCACCACGAGAACTCGACGGTCATGGGAAGATTTAATTTAAAAACTATTTTGTTATTTACGATAAATTAACTGATATTCGCTGGTAAAGTTTGATTCTCAAGAACCTGCATCTCTCGTATCGTACTAGTTTACCTAAGTGTGGCAATATGCAATGTTAATAAAATAGAAATCCCCTATTTTTTAACGCACATTAATGTTATTATTTATATAAACTGATTGTGTAACAATTTAGTCATGTCTATCAAGTAACTTTTCCAAAGTACTTTCTGATGATGCCCGTAACTATGGCTACAAATATTAGGTAAACGAACTGCAAACTTACATGTAGAACAGACCATAACTTCCAGCGATAGTATACATGATCCGAAGATTGATAATCAAAAAGGAATCTAAATAACGTATCAGTTAGGAGTATAATTATTAAACACGACAGTACTTAAACATAGGATTATTTGCTTCCCGGTGCATAACCGCGGCCTCGAATTGAGGACCTTCAAGAACGACAAATTCAATCATGCGATGAATCAGAGCAAGTATGGATCTGAATTCCGAAAATTAGAAAAGTAAAAATGCCACTAACAAACACTTACCTATCACTTGGCATAACGACCTTAACCACCGCTTCACGGAGAACCTTTAAATTGACAGAAAGAGTATGCGTGAGACGAAATTTCAGATTATATTAGAAGTATATATGACCTTATAAAGTTTACAGCACGAAATTTTTCTGAAAACGTATTGTAGATAAAAAACACTAAAATATACCCAACATCTGGTCACGAATTCAAGACCACTGATATGTTCACCATAGATTTTAGCTGTTTTATTGCTATACACAGAAAAAGGCTTAATGTCTGCTAAACGACGAACAACTTAATGAGTAGTTTCAAAGTCAGAACCGAGAGGAAAAGACCAAATTTCTCAAAAGGCGAAATCTATCCATGAATTAAACGGAGTTTGAAATATGGATTAGAAAATGAAACTAAAAAACAAATAACTAACTCGACAAACATGTTATACAAGTAAAAATGCTTCAGTAGATAAAAACCAGTGAAAAAATTAGTTTCAAATATTTTAAAACTAAACTGACTGATGCGACAATTACCTTATCTCTAATTATTGTCTAAATAACGTACTGATCCTTGAATATCCCCAAGTGGAAATGAAATGGATGAGTACAAAACTTTACAGAATTATACATGGATACAGTTACGATGAATAAGAGATCATCCTAAAAACTCACACTCATCCAAGACCAAAACAGAAAATTTGAGAACACAACTAGTTTGCTATAGTAGCTTAATATTATGAAACCCACAGGTCTGGAATAAGGAATATATAAAACTGTCACTTGTATTGTTTTAGGAGCACGATTTTCATTGAAGGGCTTCGTAAAGCATGAAAACCAATTTGTCAGTCAGTTACAACGTAGGACCATGCACATATATATGCATCGGTCCAAGTTGCCACACCTCATTAGCACAACAAGATGAACACCAAATTCATAAAGTAGTTATTTCAATGGTAGTAATATATAAAAGATTGTGTATAAGGATATAGTACAGGAAGAAAGAATTAGTTCGTAGAAAAAAGATATAAAGCAATTTTAATCTCACCATTTAAGGGGGGACAAAGAGTATATACACCAACGTCACTGTGATCGATTCTGAGCCATGTCACCAAGAGTCTCCAACCATTGGTTACGATTGTCACGCGGACCACAACCAAGTAGTCTGCATCTACCAACATGGCTCGGACTAGAAGTTAGTGACTTTAAGCACTGATGCCACGTTTTGGTTTGGCCGTCCCTAACTTTCTTCCAACCATCTCCAACACCCGTTAGCATTGCACGTCGTGGTAATCGGTGTTCGGGCATACGTAACACGTGGCCCAACCATCTCAGTCGATGAAGATTTACAACCTCACAGACTGATTTGCCATCATTCCCTAATACCTTGCGTCTAACCTCACTATTACTTACCCGGTGATCCCGGCAGACGCCAGCAATATTTCTAAGACATCTGTGATCAAATACTAGTAACTTACGAGTATCCTCCACTCTTAACGGCCATGTTTCGCTGCCGTAAATTAAAACAACGTACTTCAGCGCAGTACACTCGTCCTTGTATTGATAGACGGATATCTCGCCTTCGTCATAGGTGACGTAAGTTGGCAAAAGCCAAGCGAGCAACTTATACAGTGTGAATCTCACGATAAGTTATTGTGCATGCCAAAAAACAGAATTGTCCCTAAATATTAAAATTCATAGCTATTGGCAATCGTAAACTAAACTAGACAGTTTTGACAATGAAACTCAGGTTCTTATTCGAAGTGCTCACCTGGATTCAGTAGGCAAAGTATGAAACTACTACTGAGAGTAAACCGTTTAGTTAATAGAACTATATTTGCGCAAGTAGACTTTTAAAAAGTTCTTAAGGCATGTCAACTTATCAAATTTCCATAAGATTACCGATAATTGAATACAATCTGGCTATAATGAATCAGATTGGGACAACAATATAACAGAAAGAACTCTTGTTTTTCCAGCCAATTTAGTATATTAATTGATAATAGTTCAGTAAATGCTAACCAAATAAAATGAGAAAAACACAATTCTCCAAGTCATTCAAATATATTTCTGTGAAAGCTTACTACGACGATACTCAACAAGTCACTAAACCTAAAACACATGAAGAATTAACAGATCACTACCGAGTTTTCGGTTTACTATACATCGTACGAAGTATATTTCCCAGTGAATAATCTATTTAAAACTTAGTTTTGCAAGAACGAAAAAACTCTAAATACTAACTTCAGTAAGTTCTTCACTCGACATTTTATTTATATCGTATGGCTTTCGGTCTGGAGCTGGGGGTGGTGGCGCGCTGTCACCGTCTGCACCATCAGTTACACGTTTGGCTCGCTCCTTGATCGCCAAGCGAAATGACTTCAACCACTCTCTAGGTTGGGCATTGAATGGTAGTCCACTTGGAGGAGGTGGTTTAACTAACTCAAGCAATGCCGGAGGAATGTAAACTGGATATAAAGGGATCGGGACGCTTTTCCCCCAACCTAATTTCATTTCAAATCCCATAAGTTCTTTCCCTGTAATACAAAATATGTACACTACATTAATGAATAAGTTCACGAATCAAGAACTGAGGAAACAAATACACAGAATCAATCAAGATACTACAACATTAGTTTAACAAAGTAGTACATTAAGGGACCCGCCATACTAAAAATATTGACAAATTTCTTAAGATAACGAGAAATCATAATCCTAACAATACTGAAGGATCTTTCTATAAGATGAATAGACTTCATCCTCTTTTACTGCGCATGTAGAATAGAGGAAAGCGAAGTATCCCTAGACTGAATTTGTCACACCTGATTATATGATAACCAGGATAAGACAACAAGTGATAACCAAACGAAACTTCGTTCTCCAGTACAATCTCACAAACTGACTGAAGTTCGATTTCTACTACCGATATTAGAAGACAAAAACTACACTAAACGACTTTCACGGACAAAGTGCTTAAAGCACAGAAACTAGGACCTAAAACGGATCGATTAAATACTGACCTTCAATTTTCTCTGACAATGTCGATAGATCAGCGTTACTAGGACGACATCTCCACAAGATTTACAGTTCTTTGGAGATGAAAATAGTTAATTTTATTAAAACACAAACATTGGTATAAAGAGGAACCAAATACACGACACACGAATCATATATTCACGTGAGCCCACTCAACGTTAACTGTTAGAATACATAATATAACCATAAAGCACACAATCGGAATGTTGCATATCTACTTTCTTGAGAACAGATGCATTTTAAAGATACACGGCCTTTACCTACTCAAGGACTGGTTTTTTCGCCTACTACCAAGATGAATAGATGCAAAGCAGTATGAGACCCCATGTTAGGTATAACTAAGGCACGGCTTGTCGCAAATCTTTACACCTATGATGAAAGATAATTAGTATCTTAAGAAGTGAACTGAGAATAAACTTAACACGTAAATTATACTGTAATACTAGTTTGAACCCAACAATGACAATTCACCGCTTAAAATGCATAAATCAAACTTAAGGTTTCTTTTTAAATGGAGACGCGTGCTTTGACAGATATTAAGAGAGTGGTGAACTAGTGCAAATCAGTCAGTCAGTAACAACGTAGAACTTCGTACGTACGTACATCAGTTCGAGTTGCCACACCACATTAGCACAGAGATGCAGTTGTCGATTCAAATCCCGTAGTCGTAGAGGTAATAAGAGTATAAGCAGTAATCGGGAAGATTAGGGTTTGGAGATGTTATTTAGAGAGTATAATCCAGTGAAATAAATTTGGAAAGAGGAAAAAAGGGACATGGAGAATCCAGAAGATTAGAATCTGGGAGAACACAAAGAGTGGATGCACCTGCGCCATTGCAAACGATTTTGAGCCATTTCATTCAGGGTCTCTAACCATCGGTTGCTAATGCAAATCACGTTTAAACTAAAAATAAGAGCAAGATAAACTGACCTCTAATGTTGTCGAGGGCTCGTTCGCCATCTTTTCTATTCATGAAAGCAACAAATCCACAGTTTCTTCCTCTTGAACGTTCTTCTTCCGTCCTAGGCCACATTATTTTGACACTTGCAAGAGGACCATAACGACCGAAAGCCTCACACAGCTGTTGCTCCGTCATCTGAATATGTGATGTACTGAATAAAACTGAAATACTTTAGGGTTTAGATTCCCAAGAAAAAGATTTGTCGTTGTCCTATCACCATCGTAATCATATGGGTAATCAACTAAATAAGGTTAACTATCGGAAGTGGAAACTACCATCATGACGATCATTTTGGCTGCGTTTAGAATAAAAGCTCGGTGGTGTTGACACTGTGTTGTGAAAACCCATGCCTGAATCTCCACCCTGATTATTGGAAGAACCCCTCCGATATTCCCGATTACGCATACCAACATCGGAGAGATCTAGCTCAGACTGTGTAGAGAGTTGATTTCTGCCTTGTCTTAATGCATGTCTTTGCTCTCTCTGTTGCTGAATCCTAGTTGTGGTCAAGTTAGAGGATTGTCACATGAACATACAATTTGAGCTCCTCTTTGAACTGTTCTAGTTTAGATTTTTTTTGTTCTTGTCCCTTGCGCTTGCCGAGAGCTGGCTACAAACAAGAATAAGGTGGATACTTCCTTACAGGCTTTTCAGTGGATTTCTTGAAATCTGCTTTATTTTGTTCCTCAGATTTATTTAATCTAGAATCCAACTTCGAGACAGGTCTGTATATGCGGCCAGTCCCCTTCGTATCCTCTGAGGAACCTATAGCAGCTGTTATTATCAACAATCAAACTTATATACCTGAAGACGGATTGACGACACCACCCTTAACCCACGCTCGGGATTTAGAAGGCTCCTCAAAAGTGGCGACAAACTCCTCAAACACTTGCTGTGTATGCTCTTCCTCTTTCTGAGATTTGAGAAATTAACCGTCAGTAGACTAACCTTCTTCTTCTGATCAAAATCATTTCTCTTTGAAGATGATCTACTAGATTTGACCAGACTATTACTGTGTCCACCAGATTTCTCGTTGGACTTCATTTTTTCACAGATGGCGCCATGAATATCGTAAGTGAACTAAAACGTTCAAATGGTTCAAATGGTTGTGGACGGAATAGAAGAAGCTTTCGCTTAACAGGCTTCCGTGTCTAGTAGCAGGAGATCACCAAATCCTCCAGGCAGGAACCTAGGTTTGTTAACAATAAAACAGGAAAAGAAATTAGTAAGTCATAGTGTAATACTATCTTCAGTCTTCAGTAATAAGGATAGGAGGTCTGTCGACCTATATTAATCCTTGCAGTCTGTAATGCTGTGGAGGTCCAATTTCGTTTTGAATATATTAACAAGCCACTCTGGGTGGCAAGGGAAAGCTCTCCACAGACTTAAAAGTGTGCTACACAAATGCTCGCAGCCTACTAAATAAAATGGCGGAGCTGAAGTCAGTGGTAGATAAAGAAAAACCGGACGTTATCGCTGTCTCGGAAACTTGGTTAACGTCAGAAATATTAGATAGTGAAATCTAATTGACTGGTTTCATAACCAGTAGGGCTGATAGATTAAACCGAAGGGGAGGCGGGGTTATTGTGTACACGAAAAGTACCCTAACCATAAGATTAGCTGAGACAGTAGCACATGTTTCAGGGACATGTGAACTGGTGAGATGTAAGTTGAAATGCCGAAGGCAAGATATTGAATTAGTTGTAGTTTATCGCAGTCCAGAATGTGTAGCAGATGATTTTCTCCTTAGTAAACTTAAGTCCTGGTGTAACAACGGTAAAAGCCTTGTAGTAGGCGACTTTAATGCACCATATATAAACTGGGTTAACTTAGAAGTAGAGTCATCTATATCTTCGTTCGACTCCAAACTGTTAGAAACCTCGATTGGATTAGCATTATTCCAACACATTAGAGATCCCACAAGATACGACTTAAGAAACTCTTCCTCTCTTTTAGATTTAGTCTTCACACACGGTGAGGACGTTGGTCAAACGGCTTTTCTCCCACCACTTGGGAGAAGTGACCATGCAGTCATCTTATTCAAATTCATGGCTGAAATTACTTCTCAAACAATTGCGCCTGCCCGTCCTAACATATGGAAGGCAGATATGCAGGTAATTAACTCCGTAGCATCGGCTGAGAACTGGGAAATTGACTCAAGGGCATCAGAACAATAGGCATGGACTCTATTCAGGCAGTTATACAATCGGGTAACTCAACCATATATACCCTGGACAGTTCCAAAGAAAAAGAAGCACGGACATCCCTGGTCAGGGCGGGATATTCGACGCTTACTAAGACAAAAGAAGAAATCCTGGGATGTTGCCATCCGCCTTGGCACAGCAGGTACGATGGAACACTACAGATCGATAAGAAACGTGTGTATAACTGAAATTCGTGAAGCCCGAAGAAAATATGAAATGCAGCTGGCAGAATCTGCACTCAAGCAGCCCAAGAGAATATTCTCACACATAAACTACGGAACAAGGATGCATCATTGGATTCCCAACCTAATTAAAGTAGGAAGTGAATCTGAAATGATAGAAGAAGATCAGGAAAAAGCTGAGGTTATGGCTGACTATTTTGGGGCAGTTTTCACTCAGGAACCTCCTCTAGAGAAAGAGCCAGACCCAATTACAGAGTCAATAAACCAGCTGCTCACCGTGGACTTCGACCAAAACGATGTGTTTAAGGCTCTTAGCACCCTAAACATGGAGAAGTCAACAGGACCAGATAAACTACACCCCAAAATCTTGAGACATATTGCACAACATATTGCAGCCCCACTGACTGTGATATTCAATATGCCACTTGACCAAGGTGTGTTACCTATGGACTGGAAGGACGCAATCGTCACTCCCATACATAAAACAGGTCTAAGACAAGTTCCATCAAATTACAGACCCGTAAGCCTCACCAGTGTTGTAATTAAAATACTGAAAAGAATAATCAAACGGACCATAACAGCATTTATGGAAACCAATAACTTGCTGAACGTGGCACAACATGGTTTTAGAAAAGGTCTATCCTGCACAACGAACCTCCTTATAGCAAGGGAATTTAAAATAAAGGCACTAGACAACGGAATCTCAGTGGATTTTGTCTACATAAACTTCAGTAAGGCTTTCGACAAGGTGCCAACTAATAGACTGCTATTGAAGTTGGCAAACCTTGGTATTGCCGGACCTCTTTTAAAATGGATTAAGGATTTCCTAGTAGGTCGTAGGCAAAAAGTAAGAATAAATTCCAAGTGCTCCATCTGGAGACCAGTACTTAGTGGAGTACCCCAAGGTTCCGTCTTAAGTCCTTTACTTTTTATAATGTACGTTAATGATCTTACAAGTATAGCACAGTCTCCAATGTTATTATAAGCTGATGATGTAAAAATTTGGCGAGTAATAACTGGAGACAAAGACGCATTTACTCTTCAGGCAGACTTAAATAATATGATAAACTGGTCTAAAGAGTGGCTAATGCCTATCAACTCGGAAAAGTGTGTCTACATGCACTTGGGAGATTCAAAGGTTAATACGTACAACATAGGGGATGTGTCATTACCCGTAGTCCGGTCTCATAAGAACCTAGGGGTGACAGTGAGCAATGATCTTAAGACGACGGCCCATTGCCGGGAGGTCGCAGTTAGGAGGTTTCGAACCCTCCGGGCTTTAAAAAGGACATTCACTAAGTTTGATACTACCATGTTCACCACATTATACACATCCTTAGTGAGAACTAAGTTAGAGAACTGTGTTCAGGCTGCAAGCCCCTGTTTAAAAGGGGACTCAGACATACTAGAAAAAATACAGAGGGCAGCTACGCATGCAATTCCGGAACTCCGGGGTTTATCATATAAAGAGCGGCTTGAAAAACTGGACCTCTTTACTCTGTCCTATCGCAGACTAAGGGGAGATCTAATATTGATGTACAGAATACTGAGAAATGATTTGGGACCTAACTTATTGTCTCTCTTTCTTCCCACTAGATCGGGATATCTCGGAGGACATAGCAGGCTAGTAGAAAAGCCAAGAACGAACAAAATACCCGTGGCATACAGGTTTTCACACCGAGTCATCAGTACTTGGAACCTGCTGCCTGAAGCAGTGGTGTCCGCACCTTCGATTGATTCTTTCAAGAGAAGACTGGACACTCACAGAAGCATACTAGAAAAGGAATAACATAGGCCGTAGGCCTTCTGTCCTTACTACAAAAATCTGAATCTGAATATTACGTGTTCCGGTAGAGAATTCCAGTAATTCACTACTCGATGCGAGAAACGGAACTCCAGACGTAAACGGTTTGATCTCGGTTTTTGAACTTTCTTCGAATGTCCTCTTAAATGATCGGTTCTAGACGGAAGCAAAAGATAAGACATGTTAATACCAAGGTCATCGTTCAGTATACGATAAGCCAATATTAGATCACCCCGTACTCTACGGTAAGATAACGGAAATAAGTTAATATGTCTCAGTCTGTCTTCATAAGATAGGCTAGATAGACCCTGTACCATCTTAGTAGCTCGTCGTTGGACTTTTTCTAGCATATCTGCTTCATATTTGAAACAAGGACTAGCTGCTTGAATCCCGTATTCTAAATGTGGTCGCACATAAATCGTGTATAATAATCCAAACATTTCATCATCTAAATACTGAAAAGACCTACGAATTGACCATAATACCCTATAGCCTTTTGCAGCAGCAGCCTTACAGTGATTAGTCGTTTTGAGATTATTGCTTAAAAAAACTCCTAAGTCTTTATAGTTTCTTGCTTTGGGTAGCACGAATCCACGTAGTGTATAGTCATACGATTCATCAGAGTTATTTAACTGCATCACTACACTCTTATTAGGATTTACTTCTAGTGACCACCTGTCTAACTATGCCACCAATGAGGTAAGATCGTCCTGTAATACTATTCTATCCGACTGACTATGTATGGGTCTCCAAATCTTTATGTCATCAGCGAAGAGTAGAACGGATGATTTTGCTACAGTTGGAAGAGGACCTGGGATTGTGCCTTGGTGAACCCCACTTTTTACAGGTGCCCACGAGGAGAGAGCCCCGTTAACCCTTACCCTTTGTCTCCTGTCATGGAGAAAGTTACTTATCCAATCGACGACTGTGTAATGGATTCCAAAACATTTCAGTTTGAATTTAAGACCAGAGTGGGAAACCTTATCAAAGGCTTTACTTAGATCTATGAAAATTACATCCACAGGAGCATTCCGATCCTTTGCCGCAGCCCACTCTTCTCGTGCAATGAGAAGATTTGTCAAGCAAGATAGGCCTTTCCGAAAACCATGTTGTGCCCTGGAGAAAATATTATGCCCTTCAACATAGTTTATAACAGATATCCGAATGGTTTTCTCAATCAGTTTCACAACTGCACTAGTAAAGCTAACGGGTCTATAGTTACTAACTAAATCCCTACTCCCAGCCTTATACACCGGACTTATTAAAGCATCTTTCCAGTCTCTAGGAAGTCTGGACTGTCTCAGAGACATGTCGAATAGTATCGCTGATGGTTCAGCAATTTCATCTGATATGGCTTTCATAATCCTAGGATGAATATCATCAGGACCACTGGACTTATCAGGTTTGTTTTTCGTATGATAGTCTAGTTTTTCCTATTAACGCTTTACAGGCATTCCTAATCTTACAATAACTGGATCTGTATTGTTGGGCTGCCATAGATGACACCTAGCATAAATGTACTACATCCTATAGCTAACTTACAGCTAATGACTTCACAAGTGCCGCTTTCATGGGATTCGCTAGTAGAGGAGCGGATATTTATGCTATTGGCTATATATAACAGAACGCCGCCTCCTTTTCTACATCCATGTCTATCACTCCTGATGCAATGGTATCCGGATAATTCTGGAGTAATGTCTAAGTCATGGACTAACCAAGTTTCCGTCACTGCTACTATGAGTGGCTTTAACCTGTCTACTAGTGCTTCTAGTTCATAGGACTTATTTCGTAAACTACGAGCGTTGGCATATAAAACTCCTAAGTAGAACAGCCTATCCACACAGGCCTTGGTAGCATTCGCTTCCAAGACCTGACTATCCGAAAACC